TGGCGATATGATAATTCAAGAAAAATTCTTGTTCCTTGGCAATAGATTATGCATTCCTCGTGGTTCCTTGCGTGAACAACTCATTCGAGAGCTTCATGGTGGTACTCTTGGCGGACATTTGGGGCGAGATAAAACTGTAGCATTGGTGGAGGAGCGGTACTATTGGCCTCAACTGAAGCGAGACGTGGGGCGATTTGTCAATAAATGCTACATTTGTCAGACCGCTAAGGGCCACTCTCGGAACACTAGTCTTTATACCCCCTTGCCTATTCCTTCGGGTCCTTGGGTAGACATATCGATGGACTTCATGTTGGGACTTCCTCGCACTCAACGGAGTTTAGATTCTGTTTTCGTGGTGGTTGACCGGTTTTCGAAGATGGCGCACTTCATCCCTTGTAAGAAAACTTCGGATGCTTCGCATGTGGCAAGTTTATTCTTTCGTGAAGTAGTCCATCTCCATGGTGTGCCGAAGACAATCACCTCCGATCGTGACACGAAATTTTTGAGCCATTTTTGGCGTACTTTATGGCGTTTGTTTGGGACTGATTTACAGTATAGTAGTTCTTTTCATCCCCAAACGGATGGTCAGACGAAAGTTGTGAATCGTACTATGGCGGATATCATTCGCTGCTTCTGCAGTGATATGCCTAAGCAGTGGGACCGGTATCTTGCTCTTGCTGAGTTCGCCTTCAACAACTCGGTTAACCGCTCTACCGGTACATCTCCCTTCCAGTTCGTTTATGGGCGTACACCACAGCATACTCTGGATTTGGTTCCCTTGCCCAAGATTCCTGGCTATAGTATCGCGGCGGAGAATTTGACGACCATAATTAATGAAGTCCAAGCTGCTGTTGCTAATCAATTGGCTACTTCTAATTCAAAGTATAAGGAGGATGCTGACAAACGGTGACGTTCGAAAATTTTTGAGGTAGGCGATAAGGTAATGGTTTTCCTACGAAAGAAGCGTTTTCCTGTAGGTACCTATAATAAACTAAAGCACAAGAAGATTGGTCCTTGCTACATCCTGAAGAAGATCAACAACAATGCCTATGTAGTTGACCTTCCTGGTGATCTCAACATTTCCCCTACATTTAATGTGGCAGACTTATTTGAGTATCATGCTCCCGATACACCCCTTTATCCTAATCATAACTCGAGGGTGAGTTTTCCCGAAGAGAGAGGGAATGATGTAGAACAGTTAGCCTGTAATTATCTTGAAGAATGTGATAGCCGTAATCGCCGGAAATCTAGGCAGTTTTTCTGATTATGCAGTTTTTTTTACTTTAGGCAATTTCGAATTATCAATATTTCGTTTGATTTTATTAGATAAGATTAGATTTGATTTGCTTTGATGTTATCTTCATTAATTCGGATATCTTTAGGAGTCCTATCTTTATAAAAGGACGTCCAGCTTTGTATTCAGATAATTATGAAATTGAATTGAATTCCAGTCGAATCGTAGAAGAGTTTTCCAAGTTATCGTTTCTTTCTGCGTCAGCTTAAGCTCTTAAATCCTATTCAATTATAATTACGAAAGTTTAGTAAACCGAGGCAAAACAATATTTCGCCTTAATATATAGAAATACTAGGGCAATGTTAGACAAGACGGTGAGTTCATCTATATAACAGTATATGGCTCAAGGCCTGCTATGAAATTTAGATTGGTCATTCAAGATGTATAAGTTAGTCAGAGAAAGTCCAATAAATCATGAAAATAAAATATATTAAACTTGTAACAAGCTTGTAATCTACAAAATTATGTGAATATCATTGTTTTTTCTCGGTTGAATAATGTCTTTGTTGAGATTTTACTGATATTAAAATTAAAAAGATAATTTACATCCTCTTATATTATGCGTTTCTATTGTAGTTAAAAGCAATGTCGATTCTTTGCCCTAAATTTGTTGTAGAGGAAATACGTAGATGCTGAAAAACTAAAGTGAATTAGATGTAGTTGGATTTGATTTTAAATTTTCACCTCATACAATATAAAAATAAATATTTACTTAAACAGAAATACTTTGATGCGATTATCAAATGTCTTAAAATAGTGAAATTTTCTTTCTTGCAATAGACAAAATTAAATTTCCAAAAACGAAGCACCTTTTCACCATAAAAAAAGAATGCATTTGAGGTTATGTATATTATTGTCCTAACTTCAATGATATATAATGAAATTTCAACAAGATATTGTTTCTTTGAAGAAAGATAATGATGTAGAATAACATACTAGCTGAAAGTGTGTCCTATAGAATATTTAGTTTTCTCGGCATCGTTATACAATTGCAATTGGTATGCCAAAATGGAATTGAATGGAATGAAATGCGGAAGGACTGGAATGATGATAATGCCATTTGTTTGGTGAATTATGCAAATGGCATAGAAATTCTTGTGTCTGGTTGTAGAGATAATTTCTCACACAAAAAAATCAGTTTTATCATGATTATATGAAAAATCCGAAAGTTACGCGAACTGACGTGAATATGTAAGTCTTATAGTGCTTTTCAACAACACAATTGACAAGATTACAAAACCCAATGATGATACGTGAGTACGAATTGCTGACCCTAACTATTTTTAAGAAAAAAAATTTGTGGGAATGAAATTATATGAGAATTTATTAATAAATTTAATTTACATTGTAAATGTTTTAGTACAATTTTACTAGATTGATTAGATTTTATAATAATTGAATGGTGTGTTAACATCGTTTTTTTAAAATATAATCTTGAATTATCATATTGTACATTGATTTGAATTTATTAACTATAATATAATATTATTAATCAGTATTTATTTCGAATAGTGTAATTATCAATATTTCTCTATTTTTATTTACAAAGATGACTTGTCTAGCGCTAATCATGTCTTCTTATTATTTATTATTTATCAACTACAATTCAAGCTTACCAATTATTCATTATTGAGTGTGCTAATATCATTTATATTTTATATGACATAAATATTTGATTTTCATAATTTCTTTTTTCAGAATCGAGGAATGGAATCATGATAAGTGGGGGAATCATAAATGCTTTCTTCTAAAGACATGTTAGCCCAACAATGTCTTCTCCAACCCAAATCCCAGGCCTCAACAATCTTTGACAACAACGTGGACGAACGTCAGGAAACAGGAGAGAGCGAGCGATCGGGCGAGCTTGCATCCCGAACCACCGCGGTCACGTCTCGCCACCAACAGTGATCTTTTCCGGCACCTCCAACACCCCCATGGTTTAGATAATAGATGAAATCTATGGCTTTTGTGAAGGTGGGTGTTGACACCTATTTTTAATTGTCCAGGATTAATTGCACAAAATTTAGGAGTTAATTTTCTTTAATTCCTAAAAAAAAATATTTCTATTTAATTACATTGCATATAGATATTAGGCACGTTTGCATTAATAGGGTCTATTAGAATATTTTTTTATAAAAAAAACTAAAAAAATTAAATTAAATTAAAAAAATCCGGGTTGGGCCGGGTAGACCTGGCCCTTTTCTTTTTCCTTTTTTCCCCGTACGGGCCCAGCCCACTTTCCTTTTTTCTTCTTTTCCCCCGCTTGAGATGGGCCCGGCCCGGCCGAGCTCCCTTTTCTTCTTCTCCGTCCCCTCCCCACTGCCGTGGACACCGAGAAGCAGAGGAGCAGAGCACCCTCTCTGCACCGGCCTAAGATGGCCAAAAAAGTCTTGAATAGGAGCATAGGCCGGTGCAGAGCATTAAACTGACGACTTCCGGGGCAGAATCAAGTGGCCGTCGGCCATGAAAAAGACCAGAGGAAGAGAGAGAACAGGGGGGGTCGGCTGGTTCGGTTTTGGCGAGCAAGAACAGAGAGGCCGTGAGAGACAGACCCAGAGAAATTGAGCGAATTCGAGAGAAGACAGAGTGAAGAGGGAGCCTAAGTCAGCCTCACCGTTGCGCGTAACCTCCGGCCGCCGAGCCAGGGGCGGTTCTGAACAAAAAACAGAGAGAGAAGAGACAAAAAGAAACCGAGAGACCTTACCAAAAAAAAAAAGAAACCGAGAGATTGGGAGAGATTTTGAGAGAAATTGTGAGAGCTGAGTGTTCGCAGGTTGAATAGGGAAGCCAGCCGGCCTCATCGTCGCCAGCAAGCCGACCGGCGACTCCCGGAAGCACCCCCCCGACCAGTAGGTTCTTCTCGCCCTTTTTTGTACCCTGCTTTCCCCTGTTTTCAAGCGCAGGTTGGCCGGGACTCGCGCCGGCCGTTAGGCGCGAATCCCGGCCCATACCGATCCTCCTCCTGGTCCATAGTCGCCGTCGGGAGCAATCCATAGCCGTCGGAGCAGGCTGGAACCTCGAAATAGGTCAAAACTCCCCTGTTTAGGTCATGTACTCTACATGTTCGACGAAATGCCCACATGAAGTCCGTTTGAGACGATCCTCGGCCGGCGATGTACAGGCTGTCCGGAAACCTTTGAGCCCTTTCAGCGGCTTGTGACGGCCATTGGAAGCCGGAACAGGTCAAAGTATGACCTGGGTCGACCGGCCAAGTTCCGACCGACGTTTGGGCTCAACGAGCCCCAGTCGGAGCTTGACTGGCTACCGCTCCGGTCCGCCGTTCGGCGAGCCGTCGCCCCCAATTTCTTCAGCTTGGAGTGCTGAGGAGACGGGGACCAATGGCCGGGCAGAACAGCCGGCAAATCGCCGGATTTCTGCCCGGCCGAGCGAAGCTCTAAAACAGGGGAAGAAACCGGGTCTGTGAAGGGGGAAAATCCGGGTCGGATCCGGGTCGGCGCGAGGAGCCCGATTGGTGAAAATTATCGCAATGGAAATCCAAGCAGCACCGCCATTGTTGCTATAGATCCCATGGATATGACAGAAAGCATGCAAGAGGCTATGCGTAGGTCAAACTTGGACATGAGGTATACATGAGTATGTATTCGGCACTTAATTATCCTTTCCTTTTGCACTTTATCTTTTTCTCCATTCATTCTTTACCTTTTTTGGGCCACTTCTGCGTTCCGATTCCACCTGTCTTGGGCGTTTTCACCTCTAACTTCATTTACGGACCTGCAACGTGTCATTTATGAAGAGGAAAGGGCAGCATATGTTGAAGCCATCAGACAAAATATGATGTGGGACTTGAGTACCGCCACTTTCAAGCATTGTGTTTCTGTTACTGTTCACCTTGCGGCATTTATTTTGACTTTCCGCGCTTATTTTCCATCTAGGGATGGGAAAGCACATCCGCTTACTTTTATTCATCACACCTCAACGTATCAGGCTTCCATGTGCAAGTTAACAGAATACTGGCGAGAATCTATTACCTTTGATGCCCATTGATTTTGTGTCACTGTTGATTTGTACTGAATGCACATCTCTTTTTCGTTGGTTTTTTTTTTTTGCAGTTTAAGCCCTGCCATTAGAGTATTTCAGGATCGTGTGATAGAGAACGAGATTTGGGTAAATAACTAACCTACATTCAGATATTATGGGACAGTGAGGATCAGTCAACAGTCTTGCTGAAAAACCTCAAGTCTGCTCATGAATTTTGTTTGTTTCTCTCAATATTAACAGTTGAAAGGGAACTCTTTGAAGTCAAGTTTCAATAGCTTGTTATTGAGTGATCCGTTTTCGACCCCTCATTACACCATTTATGCTCCGAAAATGTCTTCTAATGTCTGTAGAGACTACTTGCCTTTCAAACAGATACTGAAGCTGGTGGATGAAGCAAAGAGTTTGGAGATGGAGGTCCAGAGAGGGCGTGATTCGAGTTCAGGTCACCGGGGAAGTGTATATGGTCAGAGAAGCGGGCCTAGTCCACCGGAGTCGAGCAATACAAGGAGCATCATCAGTAGCCCCAGCAGCCGAAGCAGGAAATGGCCCCAGTGAATTGCTAAGCTAGCCTAATCTTTAGTGCATTCTGCAAGGTGTCGTGTCCGGGTGATATATTTGCTTGCCCCGATTTGGTTTTGCAATCTTTTGAACCATCCGTGGGAAGTGTAAGATGTGAGGTTTGTTCGCGGTCCCTGTTCTTCAGCTGTAAATCGCGTGGTCCATTTTGGTCGGCCATTATACATACATTAGCGAAAAGGCGGACTTTCCGCAGCCACATTGTAATTGTTTATCCGGCATCATTACTACATGCTAGACGTGCAGACATTCCAGACCTGGGGCAGCTGCAGATGAAAAGCTCGAACTAGGAAATTAGGAACAGTGGAATCTCTTGTAATCCTCATCATGAAAAGGAGCCTGATGGCCAGTGACATGAACCTTGAGCTGTGTGATGAATCTGTCGTTTGAGCTTTTGGTACATCCACGCAATTCACCAAACTATTTGTACTGTAATAACTTCATATAGACCTCCAAGACGACGGCTCTTAACCGGAGATGCCATGATACATATGGACTCGCAAAATAGGTCCATCGCGAGCAACCCTTAACTAGAGACTAGCGAGCTAAGGCCCAGAACTCGAGGGTTGCCTTTTCTGTATTGTGCAGGTTCGTAACTGCGCATCGAGATGCTCGATTCTCGGCAGCTTAAGCCCTGCCATTACTTAGGGCGAGAGAGAGAGAGAGAAAGAGAGAGATTCGGGCAACTGGACTACTTTTTGAGTGTGCCAGAGTTACTACTATGGCGTGATTCTAGCACAGCATTGCGATGCGCAATTGTCACTTATATTAAGCCTTTCGAAAGTTTGAGGAAGCTCGGGATTTGAAAATTGTCCGTTGGCGGCGCGTTAAGAATCATGTGACCTATGAATTAACACTAACAATTCGATCATTTGATCATTTTCAACACTAAAACAACCGTGACCATGATGTGTCTAAAGCAATCTTCCTGCTTTTCTCATTTGAGATATGAACACCCACACTTCATCCGTCGCCGAGTATTAAACCCCACAAGACCGAACTGTGTAATCATGAAGATAAACCTGCGTTGGTGCTAAAAATTAGAGAGAAAATCACATAGACCGCATGATATTGGGAAGAAAAGAAGATAAAAGAGAGAGACCCAAGATCAGTATTCCCATTTCATTTCACTGAACCACGATGATCATATTTGTGGTGTTTCCGCCGAGGCGAACGCCATGACATGAACACAACGGTTACTTGACAAGGAATCAAAGTAGCTGAGGAGACTGTCGATTTAAGTCAGAGACCTATAGCAAAACCCTAAAGAGAACCACCACCAAAACCTCCCTTTTTTTCCTAAGATGGTGTCCTAAGATGGTTGCCACAGAACCTCAACGATCACCTTATGCTGCACACGTGAAAATCGCGTACCAGATGACGACACACGTGAAAATCGCGGACGTGACCGCGAAGCACACCAGGTTAATCCAAGTCAGGGTTGTCGAGCCAAACCCGACCTCCGCCAAGGAGGCCTCGTGATTAATGCAGTGCTCGAGCAGCATCTGCCGAGCCTCGTTCAGCTTTGCCCTGACGTGCTCCATCTCCGAGGAGTACCTCCGCAGGCGCCGCAGATCGCTGGAGAAGTAGGAGCAGTGGGCGGCGAAGACGACGAGGGACAGCGACACGGGCATCCACACGAACTGGCAGATCATGTACCGCGACCTGGCGGCGGCGGCAGCGGACGCCATTTGGAACATGCAGAAGAGGTGGAGGGCAGTGATCTCTAAGGAGCGGACCGTGAGGCCGTCAATGCTGCAGGCGAGCTCCTCCATTCTCCGCCCAAGCCGGTCGGCCCTCTTCCGAAGGGCTACGTGCAACATTGCCGGAGAGCGCTCTGCGCAGAACCGAGGGATCCAGAAGACGACGACGACGAAGGACGGTGACAACGGTGAGTGCTTTTTTTAGGGGGGAGAGAAAGCGGACTCTAAACATCCGACGGTCGGTGCTTCTCGCGCGGGTCTCCATCTAACGGCTCCGGATCAGTTGTTCTGTGTGGGCAGGCCGGAGGGTGAAAATTTCACGAGAAACGCGGTAACAAACTTTGATTAACGATATCTTAAATTGTTTTTTTTTTGTGGTTTCTACTATATATATTCACTCTTGACCGTTTCCACCGGTTCAATCCAGTCTGGTCGGATCGCTTATTTCTGGTTCAAAAATTTGGAATCGAGAACTTGACCAATTCATGCGAGAACCATCCAGAATCAACCGGCTCGGTCCGATTTTCGAGTTGGATCGGAACCGATGCACACCCCTATTGTCGGTCACTGGTAGTCGGCGCCTCTGATTGCCAATGCCACTGCCACTGCCATTAATTGCCGCCGGTTGAGGTCGCGGTTTGTTGGTCGTTCGCTGCTTTTCGTCGTTGATGAGAAGTATTCTTCAGAAAGGCCATAATTCTTTGTCATCCAAACGTTTGAATCGTCCTTATTCATGCGTTGGTGGGTCAGCAAGAGAACCATGATTAGTGGAGGAATCATAAATGCTATCATCTAAAGACATGTTAGCCCGACAATCTTCTTCTCCAACCCAAATCCCAGGCCTCAACAATCCTTTGACAACAACGTGGACGGACGTCAGGAAACAGGAGAGAGAGCGATCAGGCGAGCTTGCATCTCAGACCACCGCAGTCACGTCCCGCCACCAACAGTGATCTTTTCCGGCACCTCCAACACCCCCACGGTTTAGAGAATAGATGAAGTCTTTGGCTTTTGTGAAGGTGGGTCTTGATTTGGATGGTTGGAGCTTTTCAGTGCTGACAAGCAGTTGAATCGGCTGATTCTTCAAATTATTTTTCATTGTTCCTGTAATTGAATCCTTTTCTCTAGTCGATTGCACACGTCTTTCAGTTGAATGCCTTTGTTTCGTCTTTCAGTTGAATGCCTTTGTTTCATTCCACAGAAATTGCACACTGCTTGTACTTTTGCTAACTCTGCATACCATGAGGGAATTGCAACTGCAGATCAGAGCGTAGCGAATTAGGCGCTCGGCGACAATGGACAACATTCATAGAATCCTCGAGCAACGCGTATTAGGATTTCCTCGTGGCCGCGGCGAGTGTTCTTGAGGCATGTGAAGCATCCGGGGCCCAGGAAATTGTGACATCCTAAAAATTCGTCCATTTGGGGTTCATAAATACCGAGATTTATAAATGTACTCGCAGTTAGTTCTTGCCCGGAACTGATCATTCCTGAGATACTAACCATTAGGGAAAGGCTAATTAGGGAATTAAAATTCGCGCGACTATTAGAAAATTCGATCGTGAATTTAATTTCGACCATGAAATCGCCGATGTGATATTTTGAGCCACTGTTGGCCGATCGAATGATAGTCAGGGATTAGTTCGCCGCTGTCATAGTAGTGGATCACGGGTGATTCCGCTGGATCACGAAATGAATTGACGAATGATCCTGAACCTATACCGAACTATCGTACCCCACGGATCTAGCGATTGATCCTCGCGATTTTAATGACAACCGAAATTTTCACGAACCGAATGGACTTGTACGTGACTCGATATATTATCAGTCACGAGTCGAATCCGCGAATTTCCCAAACGAGCCACCCGTTAGTTTGAGAAACGCTCGAGTCGCGTTTAATAAAATTTGATTATTTAATTTAGCCCAAATCGGACTCCGGAAAATTTGGAAGTCACAACAGGATGTTAGGACGACGTTGTAGTTGTAACGTGCAATTTTTGTTGTGCCCGAATCCTTCATAAAAACTTGATTTTGATGAGAAACGGAGAATCGGACCATTTTACCCTTGAGAATTAACAAAGGGCATGTTTTGTGGGCAAAGGGCATTTTGGTCATTTTGCCCTAACTTTTTGATTGGACAATTTTGCCCTTGGACTTTTTGAGAAATTACAAGTATACCCTTGGATATTTTTGGCAAGATTCGATCTGGGCCGTCGATTTCAAGATAAGATCGAATCGGGACCGTTAGATCAAAATTGTGAGAAAAGGGCATTTTGATAAATTGCCAAAAAGGGGTCAATTTCACTATTTAGGTCAAATTGACCAATTCTCTTTCTCCCCCAATTCTCTCTCTCCCCTTGCCGTGAAATTCCGCCCCCCCCCCCCCATTGCCGTAAGCTCTCCCCCCCCAACCGTACATCTCTCTCTCTCTTTGCCGTCGCCGCCGCGCCATCACCGCCGCCGGTCACGCCCGCCGGATCGCCGCCGCGCCACCACCGAGCCTCACGCCCCCATCCCGCCGTCCATCTCTCTCTCCCTTTCTCTTTCGGTCCTCCCTTTGGCCGTGAGCCTTGCCGGCCATCGCCCAAGCCGCACCGTCGCCGCCCAAGCCGATCGCCGCCACCCGGGAGCCGTACGTCGTCGCCGCCGTTCCCGATTAAGTGCCGCCACTTTCCGCTCTAGCCGCGATAGTCTAGAACGCGGGTAAGTCGCGCTCTAAACCCAACTTAGGACTTCGGGTATCAACGGACGATTTTTGGGTGAAATCTGTATAAAGTTAGGTGCGGAATTGCATGAATTAGGAGTGGAAATTTTGTGGCGGGCCTTAAGAATTAATTCGGGCAATATTTATTGGAAATTAGAGAATAACAGTGGCTGTGGTCTACTATTCATGGGGCTGTGATGGGCCGATCGGGACGCAAGTTAGATTTTTAGAACCGAGAATTTATGGTGAAAAAGTCCCGTGAAGGACCGAAATCAATTTTGACGTCGTTTGGTGGAAGAAAAATAATGATTTCGGTATTAACGGACTAGTGTTCGGCAAATTTTGTGGTTTGTTTCATGGACGAATTTATCGAGTTCACCTTGAGTGAAATTATGGCTGGAATTATGATGGTTTGGGGGTTATTTAGAGAGTAAATAAGGGCTGCCTACGAGAAGTATATATGCTGAAATTTGTGGTTTGGAATAATGTGTTTATGGCTTGATTTGTGGTGTATATGTGTCGGATTGTTGTGTGATGTCGTGGCTGAATTGTAAGGGTCCTTGTGACCGAAATTACTCGCGATTGTGATGGTTATATGTGTGTTTATGAGCTGTGATCATTGGTGTGTTGGTTGAAAAATGTACGTGTCGATTTATGGATTAAATGAAGGAAATTTGGAATTGTTTGTGAAAGGTTGGGCTGAATTGATTTAGTTGAAATTTGGACATGTTTATGTGATATTTGAGCATGTGGGTATGTATGAATTTACGTGGAGCGATGTGTGTGTGATCACT